GAAAATGAGAGCTCACGAGAACATAAAATGTGACGAACTCACAGTACGTACAGTAATTAGGACACTTCAAAATACGATGGAGTACTGGATCGGGTAACAATTATCCTGGAATGCATCTGATATCGCTGCACCTTAATGGGACATATTAATCAGGTCGTATGCAAGCCTACTTCAGTCAGTAGTATTATTTCTGGGTAGTGCTCTCAGTGTACAGATGCGGGACACTAGCTACCCAAACGGTCATGTGACCGGTGCGAGGTCGCTCCACACAGCTGTATTGATTCACTGGTAGAGGAAATTACTGATAGGTTCAAATTTTACCATCTTTAGGCATAAAGTATTGTTCAATCAGCATTCTCTTTTCTATCTTATTGATACAATATGATTGAGCACCGTGCTGTCACCTGTAGGAATCATGTAAGGCAGGCTGCGCACGCCTCTCTGTAACAGCTCCGTCGCTATATGACCGACCGACTGAGCACTACAATCAACAGCTTCGGAATATCCTTTGTTGTATTCTTTAACTTCCCGTTTTGTACGAGCAGGCTACCTTATTTTTGTCAGAGTTATGCTGTTAAGAGAGTATTTGATGGCCGAAGAGTTAGGGTCAGGATAAGAATACGTGCCAAACTAGGGAAACGTACGGTTGAAAACCTTTGAGGGAAAAAGACAGTTGATTTTCTTTTCCTGTCAATTTTATCTTGAACAAAATATCGGTTGTCTTTGGGTGCTTTTTTAGGTAGTTCGTTGGCCAGGTCGAGCGCTGCAATTCTACGCTAACAGCTGCTTCAGTTTAACTGTTGTTATCGAGAAATACACTCATTTGCAAATCATTTTGAATTTCACGAGAGACTCAACTAAATCTTTCGTTTATGATGTTCTACAACTGAATGTGCTGCACACAGACCGCCTTTAACCCAAAGTGGACTGTTTTCGAGAAATACACTCATTTGCAAATCAATTTGGATCTCACGAGGTACTCAACTGAATCTCTCGCTTATGATATCCCACAACTGAATGTGCTGCACACAGGCCGCCTTATGTTCCGGTTGGCACGATATTCGAGATATCGGTTCAGGTAGATCATAAGGCTGACGAAAACTCGGGGACTGCGACTACCTGATGAGCCCCAAGAAGGGCGAACCCGGTCGTGGGCTGTCGAAGAGTTTTCAGCAACCTTGTGAGTAGTTTCCTTCATGAAAATCAACTGCTGTTAATCCTCGCACAAGGATATGGTTTTTTCTGCTAGGTCTCTCTCTCACTGAGACCAAAATGAACGTTCATCATTTCATGTTTTGCGGTCACTTTCCGGTTGTTCACCGATACAACAACCTTTCCAGGACTGAAATTCGTAGAGGTTGTGTAAGGTCTTGGCGCTCATTTGACTCTGTCGCCTGGTGTACGTAAGTCCATCAAAAGAAGTATACAGAGTTCAGAGTTGTTCTGAGGACGTTTTCGCTGGTTTGTAAAGTTTCTGTTCCATGAGAAAATCATTTGTGTGCGGTACCTTTTCAATGTATGGTCGTTTGGGAAATTAAATGAGGTATGAAAACCAATTATTTTTTGTATGGTTCTCACTGTCAACTTCCACATCATGGTTTCCAGAGCAATACTATCAAGTATCTCTTTATTTGTTTCTTTTTCAAATGGCTTTTTGTTGACCCGGGATTCTGAGGAGGTCTTCACCAAAGTAAGATTAAATGCTTTTTCATTTCGGAAAACTAAGTTTGTTGCGGATCACTTAATCCTGAAGTTCAAAACTTTAACGTATCCTCGAATCTGTCTTCTTTCAGAAGCCCCTTGTTAACTCTCTGGCTTCTTGGACCGCTATCCCCGTGGAAGAGTATGATTGGTGCCATCCTCCTGGAATTCACTGGATTGAAATATTGTTGCCGGAACCCGACCGGTACCAATCGATCCACCACTGGCCCAGAGACACATCAGCAGACGGGTCTGACTGGTGATTGATTCGATCGATGCAGCTTGTGTGATAAGTTCAAGTGACTAAATTTGGACAAGCAATAAATGAGGATTAGGATGATGGGCGACTGAGGTGAACATCTGGACAGAATTTCGCACCGGTAATGGTTATTATCCCCCGCTGTTCGCAGCAGATACTCGTGAGTTGCAGGAGAAATTGTTAAACCTTTTGTGGATGCTTCAAGCCTAAGGCCACTGATGTCGGTTGAGCATGTTTTGACAATGTGAGCTACTTCTGGCCGATCATGAGAGAAAGGGAACCACACAACAGTAGTAAGAGCGATAAATACAGATATTATAACCTTACCAGAAGGTGGACGGTTTACTGACTGTGACTGTTTCGCCTTTGCTCCCGACGTTTTTAAGGACCCAGAATTCACCGCACCCAGGTAACTCCCAGTCGTCTGATTGAAGTTTTGTAGGGCGAGAGTCATGTACTTTTGACGCAACTCAAGTGCTTTAATGAGAGCATCGGCAGCCACATGCAGCTCATCGATGGGAACCTTGAAAAGATGATGAGAGTAGAACCGGAATTCTGTGCAACTGCACTTCGAAAAAGGTGGGTTACATAGAATTGTGAAGGAAACCACCCAAACAAGTCTGAAACAGAACTCCCGAATGGATAAAAAATAGGGATTCAAAATAGGGGAACGAAGGTGTTTGCTACGGTTCTAAAATGAGTTTGTATATGCTGTTCGACATTCCGCGGTGAACTGTATACAACATAGCTCTCGTTTGAACTGTCCTTTTTCTGTCCTGTCACCGAGTTACAAGACAAGTGTTCAGACGCGAGTCACGTGGATGCATATTTTATAAGTCGCACAAACCCACCACAGCTAATCGATAACTCTGCAAAAGGGTTTAGAAATTTACGGCTTTACCTAACTACGAACACCTGAAAGGTGGACAAACGGTTGAAATACTGGAGCTGAGATGGACGTTGCATTTAACGAAGCTGTTCCGAGTTTCACTCGCAGTTGCCGGCCTTTGTCGAGGACTAAGTTATTGGGATTAAAGATGACCTATAAGGCGTCAAATGGGTTGTAATTCGTGTGAATGCTAAATTGGTCAAGGCATTTTGTGTGCCTCCCCATAAGCACCTCTTGCAATTCTGGATTGATAGTGAGATGTAGAGCCGCGTGCAGGGTGTCGTGCCTGACCTGTTTTAGTTTAATGAACTGAGCTGAACTGCACTCGCCGATTCGAGAATGTATCCTGCAAATGACCGCAAATCAGTTGCGGCATATTTGTACACTGTGGGAATTTCCGTAAGATATGTACCCTCTTAAGTACACCCTGGTGATCCTCCGTTATCGCATGGCGTACAAATATGTGACACAAATTCGGACTCAAAGCATCCTACTTTGCTAGAGTCGTATATACGTATGATTTTGGTTCCTATTATAGCCTTACGTAGCTAGCTCGCTGCAGGTCGGCTAGCCGAAACTCTTGTCCTGATTGGCCAGTTGTTTGACCAATGAGATTAGTACTAAAGTTCACTTAGGCAAACCAACCAATCGAGGACAAGTGCAAGCCAGTCGTCGAGCTTGGCGAAGGCATTAGTAGAATTTTCAGCATTTTTTCGACAGAACACCAGAATAGGCTAGTGGAATAAATAAAGCAGACCATCTTTCCGAGTATGGTGATTATCAACCCAAGTTTTGTGTATTCCTCTTTTAGCGGGACGTGTTCGGAGCTGAACAGTGTAGTACAGTTTTCGTCCTATCAGTGAAGCCCATCTACGCTAAATCACCGAGAACCACCGCACAGCTGTTTCATCCCTATCGAGAATCATCAAATGCGTGCATCTCACGAAAATCCTGATAGTCTCGAACCCGCACCTCCTGGGTGGTAGTTTGAACACTCAACCATTCGGCCACGATCGTCTGACCAACGGTATGACTAGCACTCCAAGTACGCAACGACCGATCAAGGTCGACCGTACATCAATCCATGTAGACGCAACATCCACACACTTTCATCGTCAACGCACCTCCACTCACAACACGCTGATGACGCAACCTCGACTAGCGATGAAGCCAACTTACACATCACAGCGTACAGATCAGTGGCCAACTTTCCAAGTATGACAGTCAGTGAGATAGATTCTCGGGATGACTTTTTCCACAGGGTATCAGTTAGGTGCACTAGTACCGCGCAATGTTAGAAGAACAGTGTGACTTCCGAAAGCATCCAGAAAATGGCTTATATGAAAAGTTCCTTTAGCCATGTCTTAGAAGAAACAGCACCCTTCCTCTGAGCAACTACAATAAATGTTCTCATTGTTACGCAAAAGATGTACAACAGGTAGCGCGGGTAAACAGTTGTTGATGACAAGTCGTCCACTTGGTTTGTCCTATAGCTATGAATTTTCTACTTTTCATTCACCGCAAAAATCTAATCCTCCCTCGACGTGGTCCAGCAGTGCAACCAGTTAAGGGCTAGATGTACTTTAATGTCTTGGTGAAAAAAAAACTGGGTGACTAAGGGAAGAACGTTTTGGCAAGAGTGTTTTTAAAGTATGCTTTCAGTCAATTCTTCGGACTAAACTTTGTTTAGATGTGCCAAAAAAGATTAAATATTCTGGCACTACGAGCCAGTCCATAGCAATCTATTATGCACGCTGTCAACGCCGGAGGATTTTTGTTGTTGATCAATTGTTCACAAGTTTGATCACTTCTCACTTAGGAACCGATCGTAACGTAGTTGACACTATTGGTTGGGTACAGAGGTAGTAGAATAACAACAATGTATCTCTGTAATGCACTATTCAAAGGTTGCTGAAAACTCCTCGACAGCCCACGACCGGCTCGTCAGGTAGGCGCAGCCCCGAGTTCTACCTGAACCTGAGTAGAACATAAGGTTGATGGAAACTCGGGTACTGCGCCTACTTGATGAGGCCCAAGAAGGGTGAAAGCGGTCGTGGGCTGTCGAGGAGTTGCCAGCAACCTTATGAGTATTGCGTTACAAAAATATATATGTACCGCGATATGTCGAATATCGTAGCGACTGAAATATGAGGCGGCCTGATGCCAGGAACTACCAAAACTGAGAGATTCAGCTGGGTTCCAAATGAGTCTCTCGAAAAACCAAATTAGTTTGCAACTGAGTGTATTTCGCTAACAATTTATTTCATTCCATTCAATTCCAAAACAAAATCAATAATCTGATGAAGGCCACTCGGAATTTAGTTTCTGATGATCATCAGTGGGACATTCCGACCCACACTAGTTACCAACCCGTTTTCACATAAAGTGATAAAGTGTACTAATCGTTGAATGAAAGCTTTTCTCATAATAAAATCCAAAAAAACGCACTTTTGTTGTTTTAGAATGGAGCAAAACAGTCCTGCAAGGAAATATAGTGGGGTCTTCCTAACCAAGTCCTAAACAAAATTCTCCCTACACAATGTGAACAACAATCAGTCACTAGATCGGTCAGTCATTCTTGGTGAAGTGCTGAAGCCTAGATCAGATACAACCAGGGGACTACAAGGCTCCTGAACCATGCTTAAAAAGGCCAGTATGAATTAAATAGCACAAGGTCACGTGTTAATTTGGTAACCCAGAGATAGACCGATTGACTAATGTTTGGGTCACTAGTACAAGCGAAGAGTAAACTAGGATTCAAGTATGACATGCCTGTGGCCACGATGTGTGTTACAACGATCCCACTCCCTCGACCAAAGTTTCAGTGACTGACAGTGAGTTTAAGTTTGACTATTAAGCCCCTCCATAGAACAAAATATCCCGGGTTTACTGAGGACTTTTGGAGAAGTATAACTACACCCTACAAGTAGTTTATGGTTGGGCCCCATTGTAGGGGACCGGCAGTCAACAACAGCAACGGCGTAGATGTACTAGTTCATCACTTTGTTCAACCAGTTTTCATGCACTATGGGGTTCAGACAAGATGGCTTGGAAATAGTAATGCGATGATGATGCATCTAAAGCGGTTGTCATGCTGGTTTAAGGTTCAGTTGTTCTGACACAAAGTGAAGGCACGCGATCAACACGACAGCATCTGGCCTTTGTAATGTCTCGGTCGTATTTTGGGGTCTTATCACGCTCAATAACTAACTACCTGTTATGATGACAAAGAGCCCGTCCGGAATGAGCTGTCTGAACGTTGATCGTGAATGCTGTAGCACAATAAGCGATCCAATTTAAGTGGAACAATACCCCTGCCCACGATGCTAGTGAAACGAGAGTCAGAGAGAAGAATGGCTGCATATATTGGGTTGGATTAACCAACCCACTCTTCCCGAATCAGGCATACTGACAAAGAGTTAGCTTCAATCTCAGTCTGTCTGGTGACCTGAACATCTCTCGGGGGAGAGGCCTTAAAAGGGATGCTGTGGGCGTTGCCAGGATAAACGAGAGTAAACACTAGTGAATCATGCAGCTTTGCTCGTACCGCCAGTTACGTGCGACCAGGTGCATCTGTCAAAGATTAATATCGCCAAACGTACAGACTCGAAGCCCACGACAGTGAACGTGCTCTTTCAATCTCATTTGGTCTACGGGTTGTTTCGCTCAGCCCGGTAGGGACCGGCATAGTTTGGTAGACGATCAGGTGGCTGTTGATCTGCTTACCAGGTGTGGCAACTGCTTTGTGGACATCTAGTCACCATTCAAGGATAAATTATCAGTGCGTTGTTGGGTGGATATGTTGGGTAATCATGCCTTCCACAGCGCCACGTTCGTTTACGAAGGTCTGTCAGGTTCACTGTCTTGAACGAAATCTCATCCAGTTTAGAGGTGAATTAGTGCAGCATGAATCAATGAATCAATGGGAACTATATCATCATTCTTGGCCCGTAAGCTGACTACTGCTCACAGGATAAGCTAGTATAACTCGCCACTAAAGAATGGTTTTTGTAGAAATTACACTGATCACGTATGCGGAAATTTGTTGGTTGATTTGTAGAGTCACCGGGGATCCCCACCTTCTCAATGAAACATGTCGAATCAGTTGTCTAAACGGAATACAACGGGTCTGTGTTGTAACGTGGGTGGCCATCTGTTGGCTACGTCTGCACTGAGCCTGCCAGACTACGCGATAAGGAGAAGACAGAGAACTCGGGACACGGCAGTATTGTCAGGACTAAACATACAGAGTTTCTGCATAAATGTATAGGATGACTTAATGGCCAAATATGGTCGTTCATTTATTCGTTCGGTACAGCCAATGGCGGTTTTTCGGTCGTGAACACCTTCAGCCCCACTCTACTGGTCTTATGTTACTAAACCGTGTTTGGTGCGCTCCTCCAACGTACCCTCTTTCCGAACGTGTCATACCGATGATGATCTTAGGGATGCGCCACTCTCTGCACGTGTACTTTTTCCATGTCTGGTCGCCTCCTGACAGTCTGTTCTCAGAACAGTGGACGAAAAACGCATCGAGATCGCCTTATTTATTTTTGAGTGTGCCGCCCTATGTGCATCTGTCGTGGCGTTCATTCGGATCAGGTAATTAGTACAGCGGTGGCATGAGCAGAATAAGAGAACACTTTAGCGAGGTGTTTTTAAATGGAAAGGATTATGTAAATATGGCCATATTAAAAGATTAATCAAGGTTGGTAGCCATGTAAGCCATATGTTGGTCCTGTAGCACGGTTCACAGCGACTTGTCTGCGTTTGCAGTATAGTATTCTGGCACTTTCGGAATCGATTAGGACACGCCAGATTGTGTTAATCTAGCAGACCGACAAGGCCGGATGAATTCGCGTTAATGTCAATGGGATGAAAAAATACCCGGAGAGTGTTTCAAAGATCCTCGTGGTTCACATGAACAAGATAAGTATAAAGGATGCTTCACGTGGCTATCACTTACATAGTTTGTGACAGATCACTGCTCACCGTGGACGTTCAATGCTAACAGATTTTTCACCTTTCATTCTGGTAGCATGAGAGGGCTGGAGAGAACCCCGAGTTGGTGTGTAAGTGTACGGAACGTGAAAACCGTCACAAGGTGTTCGAAAGTGGAAACACATCGCCAAATACCCCAGTTAATTGTTCATCCTCGGGAGGTAGGGAAATTGCTACTGAATTGAGAGTGGCTACTTCAGTTAACCAAGGTACAATTTAGGCAACCACTGACATATTACTCACTGGTCCTATTCAGGTAGCCACGTTCGACTAAGTGACACTGTTCAACCTTCCAGAGAATAGCTACCTAGCTCGGGTGACTGATTACCCTGTTGTGTAAGGGTGGTATTATGTGAAGTTGAGTACACATATCAGTGGAGTTTGTCCCACTGTCATGCTGTTTTAGAACAAGGGGAATTCGTGGACGTTTGGATGAAGCAAAACGTATGGTTCTGTGGTAAGTCAGTGTTTTGAAGCTCATTAGTTTGTAGCGCATTCTCAAGGATTAATTTCGACTTCATCTGTATGATCCTGATGTATTCAGTCCCATTTATCATAGGTGTTGATCACATGACAGCTGATCTCTCCACCGAGCTTAGCAATATACTCGGAAACAGTTCGTCACCAAAAGAGGGACCAGCATTAGTGCGCGGTTGGGTAGCTACTTCCTTCTTTCATGTGCGCGTTTACACAACTTTCAACTTCTGACGTGATTGGCTAATTGGATAACCATAAGGCACGGAAACCCCAAACGGACCAGTGAACTCACTAGAAAGCTCCTTTTAAGGGTACCAATCACATACATGCTTTCCAAACTTGTATAAACTCACGCAATTAAGGAGGAAGTATCCACGCGATTGCGCACCGATGACGTCTCCTCGTTTGATAACGAAACGTTTTCAAGTTCGTTTCTAAACTCAGTGAAGACCTCAATAAACGCATCCGAGTACTAGCGCAACGGTGGGTACTACTGATGCGGCATGTGAGTAGTACATGGTTTCTCGTAAATGGAAGGTGAGGTTTATTACGGAATTTGTGGAACTGCTTTGTAGCATCCGTTTACATTTGCGTAGCAGTCGATGAATATCCAGGAAGACGCGTTCAAGAAAAAAACGGATATCCAGTCTTTAAAAACTAGATGCATATGAGAGTTTTGCCCTCCTGTCCAATAGTCTGTAACTGTTCATTTGGTGTTTCCTGATAAACAACCCCTCAGCGAAGGGTTTATTCACTAGTATTCTGACGTTTCGCCGGTTTACTGCTGTATCTGTAGCATCCTTACTTTACTGTTTGACTATTTTCACCATTGATTAACTGCATCAAATTATTCTCGAGCTCTTTCTTTCATCCTCATCTTCCACAAAAGTAATGGCTACACTACAGAATGATCTGCAACATTACTGCTATCCTGCACGACATTGCTGTCAGTTTTTCATTTATTTATCTGTTTTTTTCCTCGAAAATTGAAACCATTCTAAGGGAAAATGGATCATGTTCTTCATAAGATGGCTTTATTTATGGAGATATGATTATACATTTTTGAATGTTTGTACGGAACAGTAAGCTAGAACTTTGTGCAGTTTTAAACAATTACTAATTTTACTTTCAAAAGCAAAATTAAAAGACGTTGTGATTCACGTCCTTCTCAACCGATACTTATAGTCTGGTAGTGTGACTTTGGCCACAGTGATGGTGGAAGGAAGAAGGCCTTCGCTGCGGAGTTACTTATTAGGAAACGCCGAGTGAACATTTACAGACTAGTGGACAGGGAAGCAAGACTCTAATATGCCTCTTGTTTACACAAACTGAATATGCACCTTCTCCTTGAATGCGTCTTCCTGAACTTTCCCGGATAAACATTGACTGTTGCCCAATTGCAAGCAAATGCGACTCCACAAATTCCGTAATAGATCTTACTTTTCATGAGGCGCGAAGCGGATTTACGGGAAAACATAGTACTCGCATGCCCCATCAGTAGTATCCACCGGTACAATGGTAGCTTCTGACTCCCTCACGTTTGTTCATGCAGTCAGTGAACTTTCAGGCATCGGCTTAATTTTTAGGCGCATTTTGAATCCCCCGCTTTCAGTAGTTACTCGAATATAAAGTTGAACATCTCATAGTCTGATCGATATTCTTCCATTTTTTTCGTGTTTCCCTGTTATACGGGAATACTTAGGTATGCAGACGGGAAGTGAAATAAAAAAGTATAAAAATTACCAGTATTATTGAATGATTAGGTCGTGTAACTTACATCAAGCATATCATCCCCGCATACTTGAACCCGTTGAAACTCGACTGCGGCCGACATCTTGCTCGCTTCTATTTCTCCTTCCTCTTCTTGTACCCAATGATCAGGTTCTGTGCTCATTGTGGAGGTGTCGGGTGCTGGGATTGTAAGATCTTTCTCTAGGATTTTATCCGCAATAGATTTTGAGTTCGGCTGCGAAGCCTGTTGGCCCATAGATGAGTCTCTCTTAAAATCGTCTCCTTGTCCAGATTTGCAGTCCAACTGACTAGTCCCAGGATCTGAAACGGGTTCAATATTTGAGCCATTGCCTTGTTTGGAGAGAACCGGGGTTACAAAAGGATCGGTACAAGTTGTCAAACGGTGGCACACTTCATCGATTCCAGGATGGGGTTCACTTTCCAAATTCATGGAATGTGAACGTCTTTGGTTCCCCTCTGTACCTTGCATCGGGTCGTAATTCCCACGATCTGCAAGTTCCTTGTTGGAAGAACGACCCTCACTGCTGAATGAACTAATTGACCTGTGTGGATAAGCATAAAATATCATTGGCCTCCATGAGCCATGCACTTTCAATCGACTAACATTTACTTTGAGAGTGAAAATGATTCTAGACTAACCGAGTTTAACCGCATAAATTTCATTTTAGTGCAGCCTAGAGGGCACAATTCACGGACCCGTTGAAGGTAGCTTTAAAACTATGTTTGGATGTGTTTAGTAATGCGAAATTTTTGTTGTATACCACATTCTACTGCTTTCGAGCTACTTTTATGGATTGATTCTCGTGCATTGCCGTGCGCTCGAGGAGAGAGCAGGTGGTTACCAGCTACGATTAAATAGATACTTCGTTGGCAGGTAGGATGTTTCTATTTATTGGACAGAATGCTATTTTTGTTTCATACATATCAACAAGTTTACCGTTCCAGACAGCATATTTTGTCCATTCATTGCTTGCGTTTGAGCCTCTTATCCTGTGTTTATACACCAAAATCAAACTACTCATAAGTAGCCTAAAATCAAGGCAAATTAGAACCAGGTGGCCCCAAATTGGACGATAGGCATTCCAGCGATTTTCGCTGAAAAAAAACAGTGTCTTGAAATGTATATATCCTCCACTTAATTCCTTCTATCTACTTTATTGTCCGTCTGAGTTTTTAATCCTTCCACCAAGTTCAGCAATCCTAAGAGGATGACCAGTTTTTTCTCCCATCCACCACTGTCGTAGGCTCTTGGGTAGATGAGGTGAAGCTCCTCGAAAAATTACTGTCACAGCTGTAACCCCAACTCACTCTGGAAATATACGCCTTAACAAAGTTTTGTATTCATGTGTTTATGGTAAACCTTTTTAAACTACTGATAACCCTCAGCCCCTCGACTCTCTGCTTGAAGGCACGAGTGTGTATTACATTACAGAAGAAAATATTTGTTACCCAGGAACTACTAAGTGTGTGACTCTTTTCCGTTTTCATTGGATCTATACCAGCGCCCAAACCCGGGTCCTGTAAACGCAAGCCAACGAGGTTTCCAGTTGGGATGTCCGGCGACAGAAGCATCTGACTGACACAGGACTGAGACAACCGAATATACCGCCCCACCGATTCTGGAGGTTTTTCATCGCATTAGGCATTCGGTACTGGGTTTACTATGTGTATTCTTGACTACGTCCGAGTCAAACCTCCTGCGTCTTGGCTCAGTCACCTTGCATGCCCTCAATGCATCAGAATATCACCGGATGCTTTTTCCAGTAGTTGTAGTCACTCCATTCTGCCTTAATTAGCAAGGAAACTACTCCGTTTGGTTCTTATCGCCTCAGCCGTTTGTCATCTTTTGACATGTAATGGAGCCCTGGTTCGTTTTTGTCCGCATAGATGAAAGATAAGTGACACACGCTGCGGTGTGTCAGCTACCTAATGGCAACTAATAATTATGTCCTAAAGTCTTCCGTTCACTTTATGGTGGCTGATGAGTAACCATGATTAAAGCTCGAAAAAATTCGATGTGTTCAGAGTTGAGGCCACATAAAACACTTGAAATGCATTCTCCGGATCTACTTGGTAGTTTATTTGAATCAAATAAGGGCTGTTTAACTGGTGGTTAGCTCGCACTTAGATGGAATATAGCGCCACTCATCTTTCAACCACAGAGACCACATCACGTGGTCATGTGATGACTACCTCCTTGAGTGACCACTTTTGGGAGCACCCACGGCGTAGCTCGGTTTGATCCAAACTAAGCTGAATCAACCTACTACTTTAAATACATGGAATATAAAGTCTTCTTTATCTACGGTCGACGCACTCCGCTGGTTCTCCATTAAACACAAGTAATTGCTGTTTTACCGCCAATGAAGTTGGGTGGATCAGACGAATGTCCTGTATCTGCTTTTGGTTTGTTTGGTACGATCTAACTCATACAGTTAATGAAAACTCCTACGATGCCCGTTGCATGCTTCACAACTTCGGGGTCACTCTTCAGACCTCGCTCGTAATGTCTCTCATCCATACGCTATTTCATTAAGAGATGTTTTTTTACGAATCTGAAAATGAACCAAAATGAACACGAACGAGTAAGGAGGCAATCGTTTACATTAATGAACTTCCACTATTGACAAAATGTGCAACTGTGAAGAGTCGAAGTTGTGTGCTTGAACGCTGTAATTCAAAATCGCATGAAGTTTGGGATCATCCAGCGATTAAAAACCATAGTTGAGTGGTTTATAGTGATCTGGAGTGGTTCACTGGGCAATGAAGGGAAATCTTATTGACTAAGAGCCCTGTGTCAAGTATATATGCAAAGACGGTCTCCAAACCATTACACGTTCCAAGTAAACAGATGGTAGCTTTGAAGGCTAAAAGGCCAGTAATAGGATACCCCATCCTGAGCGCGAGGCGTAAATAATCGTGAATCAATTATCTCAGTATCAGGAAGGTCAGATACCTGAAAGTAACCCCAGAACGCCCAGGACCTACCGAGATCCTAAGACTCCACCAAAATTTCAATAGGAAAGCCGGCAAATATCCAGGTCAGTCATTCAATCAATTTAGAAAAAATCGATGAGTGTTTAGGCACGCCACCGAATGTGATCAGCATTCGGGCATTTCATGGAAGCACGATTGATGTTGGTGGGTGTTCACTAAACGCCTATCAGACAGCCTGGATCAATGTCAAAAAGTGTCCTTTGAATAGTGCATTTTTGCACTCGCACACACTCACTCGATTGGTCACAATATAGCTGTTGTGTTCCCTTCTGTGAGTGTTTTTCCGGCACTAAGCACTGGAACGGGGTAAGCAGCAGATAAAACAGATTGGCGAATCAGCAGATACAACACTCAGAGACAAAATCAATCTCATTTGTAATGTGGAGCATTAGTTTGAGACAAACTAGCTCCTGTTGAGGAGATACGATACCCATCATTTTGCTAAAGACTGTTCAACAGCCCACGGCCCGATCAGGTGGGCAAAGTTCCCGGGATTCTGTAGAAGTAATGTCCTGCTAGAACACCAAATCACATGCAATTGATGAAATACATTGTAGATAAGCTTGGCACCTACCTAAAGAACCCCGGGTGCCTTTCTTAACATGGCTCAACCACGAAGTCAGTCGCGTTTGTGTATCACTCAGTAGTTGCCCAGTTTCCTCAACTAACTCCTCATGTCATCACCTCCTATTCTCGGCTATATTATTCATGATTTTTCATTTTTCAATGTTCCTTTAACACGGGAACCAGCGATAAACAAGAAAGCAGTGTCGCTGACTCCTGTGCGGTGAGGAATGAAATTCGGTGTAATTTTGATCTAGTGATTCCCTGGTTGTTATCAATGCAACTAGTGATTAGATCGGATCTCCACAGAATGCACTCAAGTATCCCCTCCAAAGTCGCCAAGATAATGTATTTAAGAAATATACTACTTATTGGCAGACCAATTTTGTTTGAACACGAGAGTCACCTGAATCTCTGGGTTAAGCTATTTCCCAAATGAAGGTGCTGCACATAAGCCATCTCATGATTAGGCCGGCATGATACTCGAGATATTGCAATATATTTTCCTGAATGGGGCTACTCACAAGATTGCTGGAAACTCTGAGACAGCCCACGACCGATTTTACCCATCTTGGAGCATATCAGGTGGCCAAAGTTCCAGAGTTTCCCTCAACCTTATGTACTACTTGAACCTAAATGGTACAAAATTCATAAAACAATTTGATATAACATGCTTTTTATTAACACGCATCACTTAAATGTGAACTGCCATCCACTTACTTGGATGCGAAGTTGCTTGCTTTCAGGTATACTCTCTGAAACATTCCGCGTAAACTGCGCAAATTTATTGTGCATTCATCGCTATCCTGTACATTCTATGACATTTAGGACTACAAACACCTTGTTTTTATGTAGTCGTTCTAAACTCATATGATCCCGAAACCTTGTTGACAAATTTGAGTGTTCAGCATGTGCTTGAATTCGAAGTTCGTGCTCAGCACGCGCCCCAACACGTGACACAAACCTATGGTGATTTGACATCGGGCAGGTCGATAGATTTGAACGTAACTCCAGCTGGACAGGTGCTTTTGCACACGCAATGCGTTCCACTCTGTATTCGACCTTTAATACCAGAGTTTTGTCCCATTTCACTCCAAAGCACTCATACTTGTAGGGAAAAAAAATGATCCACCCTGCTGCCTGTCGTTCGACGGCGAATTTATCACGGCAGGTCTATACTAATGGAGTTTGGGTTAAAATAATCCGTGAGCAAGACCTCAGGCGGTCGGCTCGTCAGAACATAGCATGATCACCATGGTCTCAGTATTCGCATACGATTACACAAACTCCCGTTCAGCTGAAGTGGCACGAATCAGCTAAGTATGCCGTCTTACGAAAGTTAGAACCTTTCTGAAAAGTCAGGCGAGCAGATGTGTTCAATCTGTTGCGGGGGCAGTGAGCCAAGCAGTGTGCTTTCCAAGTAGTCAACGATAGACAAGAAAGGAGGTCTTGTTGATCATTTCAGAAGAGCTTGGTAAACAATCGGTAGTTTTTATTTGGGCAACGTTTCGCTTTTGACACAAAATCTTCATCAGGCCAAG